ATTCAAGATGTAGATGAGTTTGTTTCTTCATCTGAACAGATTTGGAGAAATTCAGCATTACATCATTTGCTCACCAGTGGATCCTCTGCAGTGAATGGGTGCCGTCAGAGCGACAGTTGAAACAGCTGATAAAAACATCACAATAATCCACATGACTCCAGTTCATCAGTTAATGTCTTGTGAAATGAAAAGCTCCATGCAGAAAAGTGAATGGTGAAACAAATTTATTTTCATCTCACATCAAAACCCACCAGTATATTTCTCTCCTGATTCAGAAAGTTTTCATCTTTATAAAGCAATATTATTAATATTATAAGTTAAGAATGTCTTGATGTAAACACACAGATTTTTGCTTCAAGTTTTTAATTGATGGACTGGAGTCGTGTGGGTTACTTGTGGATTATTGTGATGTTTTTATCAGCTGTTTTGACTCTAATTCTGACGGCACCAATTCACTGCGGGGGATCCATTGGTGAGCAAGTGATGTAATGCAAAATTTCTCCAAAACTGTTTAGATGAAGAAACAAAATTTTCATCAAGTTTAATTTTTGGGTGAAATATTTAATTAGTGGGCTTGTATTTAATTTTTTTTATATCTCTGTTTTCTGAATTTTGCAAGAATATGCAAGATGTTTCATATATAACAAATGCTCATGATTTTACTCACGTAGAGCTTTGTCGTGACGCAAGCTCTGTATTTACATATATATTTTAAACGTCATATGTCGTTTTTATGTAAATTTAGGGAACTGTGCTTTATAGTTGCTGTTTTTATGAAAATATCCTAAATGATTTTCCTAAAGTATTTGCTAAACAAATTTAGCATGAAACAACAAGTGTGTTATCAAAATTAATATTTTAGTGAAAATGTTTGCTCCTTTACTCCGCTTGCAACTGGACAGTTGTCGTAACTAGTCAGATATCTGCACTGTGGCATGCAGAACCTTTATCAATTGATAATAGGAATTCGTTTTTTATTTTTATTATTGTTATTTTCTATTTGTGTTTTAGGGCTGAAAAGGGATGTGCACTAATTGATATAACAAACTTTACTTATTAAGTTAAACCTCTAAGTTATTACACATTTATTTCATTTCTGTTCATCTTAACAGAGATTTAGCCTATAAACCTTAATATAGTAAAAAATTAGCACCTAATGCTGTTGCTGAAAAAATTGATGCATCAGTAATTATAGCATCATCTTGAATTGAAAGAGTATCGAAGATGACCTTTGAGTCCCACCTTTAGTATATAATATAAATGCATAGTTTTAAAAAAATAATAATTTTTTTTTTTTTAGATTCATGATTGTTGATAAGGATATTAAATGCTGTTGTGATAGAATAAATACGATTACACTAGGTCCATCATATTCATGTAGTGTGTGGCCCACTAGTGTGGCCTGCTGCGTGACATGTCCAATCTTGCCCTGTGTGTGTGCGTGTTATATTTACAACAGCCGCGGCCAAAATTATTAGAGCACTAGTATTTTCACCAGCTAAAGAAATGGTTTTAAGTCAGTTAGTTTGTCAGTAGGAAATATCAGTTTACATTTCTAAACATTCATTTTGCCTACTGACACACTACAGCAAAAGATAGAAATAACTGACTTAAAACCATTTTTAGCTGGTGAAAATACTAGTGTTCTAATAATTTTGGTCACCACTGTAAAAATAAAAATTTGGTGAGATTTTACTCGCCCTTAGGCCATTCAAGATGTAGAGGAGTTCGTTTCTTTATCAGAACAGATTTGGAGAAATTCAGCATTACATCATTTGCTCACCAGTGGATCCTCTGCAGTGAATGGGTGCCGTCAGAGCGACAGTTGAAACAGCTGATAAAAACATCACAATAATCCACATGACTCCAGTTCATCAGTTAATGTCTTGTGAAATGAAAAGCTCCATGCAGAAAAGTGAATGGTGAAACAAATTTATTTTCATCTCACATCAAAACCCACCAGTATATTTCTCTCCTGATTCAGAAAGTTTTCATCTTTATAAAGCAATATTATTAATATTATAAGTTAAGAATGTCTTGATGTAAACACACAGATTTTTGCTTCAAGTTTTTAATTGATGGACTGGAGTCGTGTGGGTTACTTGTGGATTATTGTGATGTTTTTATCAGCTGTTTTGACTCTAATTCTGACGGCACCAATTCACTGCGGGGGATCCATTGGTGAGCAAGTGATGTAATGCAAAATTTCTCCAAAACTGTTTAGATGAAGAAACAAAATTTTCATCAAGTTTAATTTTTGGGTGAAATATTTAATTAGTGGGCTTGTATTTAATTTTTTTTATATCTCTGTTTTCTGAATTTTGCAAGAATATGCAAGATGTTTCATATATAACAAATGCTCATGATTTTACTCACGTAGAGCTTTGTCGTGACGCAAGCTCTGTATTTACTAACATGAGACTAGTTCTTTAAACCATTCCATTATGGGCTTCTGAATCGGGGCATGTGGTGTTTCAGAATAACTAACATTTTTGCATTTTTTATTTGTGTTTCAGAGACATTGCAGAAGAGGAGAATAACTTGGAATTAGTATTAACCAAAGCGTTTCTTGAGGTGGACAAAGCGTTAGCAAGGCATCTTCACTTCAGTGCAGATGGTAGGTCCTATTTTACTGATTTATTTGTTTTTTAAGCATGCTTAGTCTCTCAGCTGTTGTTTTAGAGTCTTAAATAAGTATTGCTTTGATGCATCAGGTAAACATGTAACAGAGCCAAATGGACATTTATGAACAGAACATGACAATGCAGACTAAATGCATGATTTTGACAGTGATCGCTTATACAGAGCAGTGAAGACCTTTATAATCTTGTCATAATTATTCACAGATTTCTCTTTGGCTCTGTAAAATGCATCCATCCCAACAACATAGATAGCACTTACATGCTTGTGTATACTAGGGGTGGGTTAAAAAATTATTCCTAGATGCATCAGTATTTTTACAATGCAAATAATTAGCAAACCTTTTATTATAAAAATAAATACATAAATGGCAGATATTTATATATATATATATATATATTTACCCCTATAAGAGCTGCAGCTCTGCGGTACCTTTATGGAGGCCGGAGGGTTAGATTGCTCCAGCGGGTCCTTGCGTGGACTTTTGGAAGGTTCCTGACCTTTCTCTTTCTTTCCTTTCTGTCTTTCTCTTTATCTCTCTTTACTGTGCTCTGACTTCTTCACATGTGTTGGTTTCTGGAAATTGATTGATTAGTTGTGTTCAAAGCTTGCTTTTTGTATATGGATAACACTAGTTTTATTTGATGTCAGAGAAAAGCACATTGTAGAATATTTACTGTGGGAGTCATTTTCAGTGAAGAAATGCTATTTGCTAAAAATAGATGTACCTCTTACAATCAATTGCTTTTATGCTTTTTAATGCTTTTTTTCTATGCTAAGCATAATGTTTTGCTTAAACAGTGGTGTTTACTTTTCTAATGCGCGTCCTATGTGCCTTAGCTAGTCAAAAAGGTACAATGCTACCTGCTTGCCTTGACGACTTCAGTACATCATCTCTTTTGGAAACTCCCTTTTTTTGTTTCAGTTTACAATTGTTTTTATCAGACGCTTGATTACCAAAGCAATGTGTACCTATCTCATAAATATGCACAGTATTGTGTAGTATAGTGCACTAGCATTACATGCAAATCTAAGAACAGGACTAAGTAAATAGCTGTTTAGTTTCTGTGTGTGATTGTGCTAAAACAGATGCAAACTCTATATTTCATGTTATACTGTTTCTGTGACCTTCAACGCATCACAAACTAACCATTCTGCCTCGCTCTCTGGTGTGTTACAGCCTCTCTGTTGAGTGCAGGCACCACGGCCACTGTGGCCCTGCTGAGAGATGGGATCGAGCTGGTGGTGGGCAGCGTGGGGGACAGCCGAGCCATGCTGTGCCGCAAAGGCAAAGCCCTCAAACTCACTGTGGATCACACGCCTGAGCGAAAGGATGAAAAAGAGAGGTACACTTACTGCTCTGAGCAGACTGAGACATCGCATTGCAGAGCGCATGTGTTTTGATCACCATGTGTTTGTTTCTGAAGGATACGGAAGACTGGAGGTTGTATTACGTGGAACAGTTTGGGTCAGCCTCACGTCAATGGCAGACTGGCCATGACACGCAGCATTGGAGATTTCGACCTCAAAACGTCAGGTGTCATCGCAGAACCAGAGACTAAGAGGATTTCAGTGAGAGCTTTTTCTTTTCAATTCACTTTCACATATTCAAAATGTAATTATCATAATTAAATTTTTTACATTATCATAATATAATATATATAATAATATATTGTATATAATATTTTGTATATAAATATTATATATATATATATATATATATATATATATATATATATATACACACACACAGCCACAGTTAACACCCTGGCCCTGCCCCCAGACCTGTACGTCATCTTCATTTCATACAGTTGACTGTTGACAAATATGATGCAGGGCAACAGCTCCATAAATGCAGTTATGCCCTAAAATTCAAGATATTTGGGCAAAAATGCTCCTGTATGAGTTTTTGTGTCATATTTATGTCATATGATAAGCGATATCACACTGAACAGTGCTGTTTGTCCCGAGTGCAAATGTGATTTTATACAACAGTTCAGTAAATAAGAAGTTAATATTGTGTTATATTTTTGTGACCAGTTTTGCCAACAAAAATATTACCTATAAAGCCACAGCAGAATCGTTATGCATGTTTATTTTCTGAATGAATCCGCGCTTTGAACGAATCGGGTGAATCAATGATTCAAAGGCCCATTCATAAAGTGAGCCGTTTACTGAATTACTGAATGAATCAGTCGTTTGAATGAATCAAATGAATGAATGACTCATAAAGACATTTATTGCCACCTACTGGCAGTTTTAGTTTCTTATTTAGAGTATTTCATAAAAAAAAAATTAAAAAAATCATAGGGATAGTTCACCCAAGAAAATTAAATTGTCATTTACTCAAACTTGAAGTACTTTTGTGCAACATAAAAGACGGTATTTTGAAGACTGTTGGTAATGAAGCTGTTTTGGTTACCAATGACTTCCATTGCATGAACAAAAAAATCTAAATTATCAAATTATCTTCTTTTATATTCCATAGTTTATGTTAAGACGTTGTAGCCTAAACATTTATATGTAATAAACTTTGTCGAATCAAATAAAATCTTTCTTTCTAAAGCTACTATTTGTCATGTGGTCTTGATAATTTCTCATTTAACACAATGACTATAAATAATCTTTTGAGGGTATTTTCACAGCCAAATGTTATTTGCAATTCATTAGATTAATCAACACATCATGTAATTAATTAGGTTAAAAAAAATGATCGACTTGCAGCCCTAATATGTGTGCATACAATGCATACAATTTTATATTGAGTACTTTTGAGTAAATATTTTTTACATTATAAAATATTTTAAAATAAATATAATTATCTTTGAAATGAAATAATTTAAATAAATATTCAAATGCAATTTATATTTCGAGTTGTATTGATGTAAGTCTACCTGTATTGTCAGTTGCATCACGTCCACGACTCCTTTCTGGCACTCACCACTGATGGCATCAACTTCATCATGAACAGTCAGGAGATCTGTAACATCATTAACCAATGTAACGACCCTAAAGAGGCTGCGCAATGCATATCTGAGCAGGTGAGTCATAGAATCCAACATCCACCATTATTTTTTTTTTTAGAATATGTTCTAGTTAGTACCACCTTCAGCCCTTTATGGGAACACAAAATTGTTCGATGATTGCTAATTTTACCCCAGATATTTAGATGATGTCTTTTGTTTTTTTTAGTGTGTATCAGAGTTCTAAATAAAAAATGAAAGTAATCAAATGAGATAAAGAACAATTCTTTTGTAAAGTGGTGATTCAGTAGATTTACAAAAAAGATAATATTAAAAATAATAAAATTGACTCCTGGTTATTTTGATTTCTAAACTATTTTTGAATGTCCAGCAAAAACAACTATATACTGTGATATTATGTACTATTACCATGATGTGAGAGTACTCCTACAGCTTCATTGATTCTTGTATTTATAGTGAATGCGGCAGGTTTAAACATGCATAAGATTTGCATAATAATTTCATAGGTTTTTTCCTTGTCATACTCTTCTGTCCCTCTCAGGCTCTTCAATACGGATCTGAAGACAACAGCACTATCATTGTGGTGCCGTTCGGTGCCTGGGGCAAACACAAAAGCTCTGAGGTGAGCTTCTCCTTCAGTCGCAGTTTCGTCTCCAGTGGCCGTTGGGCCTAATCAAAAATAAGAAGAGAATGATGGTTTAACTGTTACACAGAAGTGACTCCCTAGTCTGAATTTACCAATGTGCAATATTCTCCTAATCCATCCTGTGAGGATCACCTCAAAAAAGACCATTACAGCCAGAACCCACATTTAATGTGGTTTTGGAGTTTATATTGACTCAACAGAATGATACAGAGCTATTTTGCCTAGAGAAGCGGTTTCTGAACTGCTGGAGTTAAAGTTCCTCTGAGGTTCGAGTTTATCCTTGTCTTGAAAATGGTTCTTTCCCGCTTTTAGCTCCTAACCTGTGGTGCTATCTTTCATTTGGTTACCTCAGTTCTGGTTTTCACTTTCGCAGATACTATACTTTAGAATAGTGTGCTATAGTGGAATCAACAATTATTCTCTGTACTGTTATTGAGAATCTCATTTCATTTTTTAGTACAGGAATTTTAAGCACTTTCAGATTTTGGGAGGTTCCGTATTTTTGGAATCCTCATAACTCTAGTCTTTGAGTGTTAAATGACACGCAGAAGCACATTTCAGTGGTCTACATGCTTTGTCTGATGGCTGTGCACATTCATAAGCTCATATTTACAGAGTTAGACCACTGTACATACTGAAGTATGGACTCCTATTCCTTGTGCAAGCACATATTTCTATAACTTTGTCTCCTATTCGTAGTGTGAATATTCATTCATGCTTTATTCCAGCTTAACAACCAGCAATTTTAAAGCTACTCTAATAAAAATTCCAACTTAAGTGAATTTGCAACCTAACTTGAGGACATTTCGCAAACAAATCAATGATTTTTGCTGCGCCTTTTCCATAAGCATTGTTCTTTTCCGAGTCATTCTGTTAAGGAACTCAACTTTAGGTTTATAACTGAAGTTTTAAACTGTGACTTGTGCTTGTTTAGTGTTACTAAACAATTTTTGTTCAGATTGTACAGTTCAGTGGTATTCCTTACAATGCATAGAGCAAAGTCCAGATATTTGTTTTATGTTATTTATATAATGTACATGATGGACAGTTAACTCTATGGTATATGTGATTGTATATTATATTTAAATACATCTTTTCTTTTAAGTCTCCTAGTTAAAGCAGAAATGTGAAATTTCATTCATCCACTGATATGATTGTAATTGCAGGCATTCTGCTGTAACTTTAAAACCTAAAGCTTTTAACTGGAAAGGCTTCTGTCGTAATCTCTGATTTCCAGTGATTTTTATTTGTAGAGCCATACACATGTGACCTCAACTAGTCGGTATCTTTGTTCACATCTGCAGGACTGGTTCATATTTTGATGCTGTTGTTTGATTTATTGATTTCTGCATTAACTCTCATGGCGTTCTCATTCAGCATTTACTCTCATTTTAGACTTTTAACAGCCTTTTTCCTTTAATGTCTTCCTCTTTAAGGTCCAAAAGCACATCCAGTACGATAGAGGTCTTTTTTTCGAATGTACTGTTTTTCAATTGATATGTTTCTGTCAGAATGTATTATATTCAGTGTTAATACAACTGTGCATGAATCTTGCCCAGAACAATCTGTAAAACAACTGCAAGTGTTTCCTGCTCTATATATGGACCTAACTTTGCTTTATTGATATGCAGTTTATTGTGAAGTATAATGCAGCTGTGAATAAAGTTTCACCAGAAAGATCTCTGTTGGATAAACATGATTTATGTTTGTCTGTTTATTTGTTGTCTGATCTACTTTATATGATATTCAAGGGGTCATCAAAAGGCTCGTCTCAACAAACTTCTCTTTATTTCATGATTAAAAATGTATTTTGTGTTCCAGTAAATGTAATACAGGAAAATGTTCAATGGAGGTTTAAACCCTGATTCCTGTCCCCAAATCCCTCCCTCCGCTCCATCTATATAAGATCTCTGCTTCTCTGCTTCAAGCAGTCAATTAGATTTCCCCCCCCCATCTGATACTCCTGAGAAGAGCTTAAACCCCAGACGTCCAGCGGTCACTGCAGCGGCGCGAGGAGGTAAGCATCGTTCTCTAATGTTTCACCTATGTTGTATTAATACTGTAAATTGAAGCTTGAGCTATATTTATTTTAGTGCAACACTAACATTTTTGTTGTTTTTGCACCTACATACAAACTAAGCACATTTCTTCTCTTTTTCATATTGCGTATGTCTTCTAAGGGAGAAAACCTGTCAGAAGATGACTGATAATGCTGTCTTTGAGCATGATCAAATCCCTGAGGAGACGGGCAGAAATGGGATGCCTGGGTCAAATGTCATTGCCATGGAGCTCATAAAGAAGCAACATGGAGCTACTGTCAGTTTCCACGGCATCCGTTATAGAGTGGAGCAGAACAGCGGACCCATCTGCAGGAAGACAACAGTCCATAAAGAGATTCTGGTGGACCTCAAGTGAGTCAATATCACACAGACAAAAAGGTCAAATGAATAATGATTAGAGCTCATTTACACTCTTCAGTATGTTAAAGGTTCATAAAGCTTTTCGACATCTTTTTCAGATGAGCTTCTGATGTTCTCACAACCTTTTTTTCCATCATTATATTAGTTCTATTCATGTATTCAATAACATAAGAATATTCAAATATTCTCTTTTTGCATCATTGAAATAAAAAAAAAAAGGTTCTCCTATGACATCATAAGAACTTTATCTCTATGGCAACATAGGAATTTAAAAAAGGTTCTCTCCTATGACATCAAAAGACCTTCTATGGCAACATAGAAATTTATAAAGATTCTCCTATGGCAGTAGTAGCATTGTCCCGCTTTCAAATCATTAAATTCATTGTAACTATTTTATTGACAGCCTAGTTCATAAATACATTTGCATCATTTTGTGAAGCATTTTCTCTTTCTTTGCCATGTACATGTGTTCAAGAACATGTTACTTATATACTATATTTTATATAAGTACTACTGCAAATATATTTGCCTCGCAATGTGATTAGGGGTCATTGGCATAAAAAAAAAATCAATATAAAAAAAAAACATTGAACTTTGTACAGTGGCATCTATGGATCTTAAAACTTTTCTTATGGCCTCACAGAAACAGAGAAAATTCTCCTCTGTCATATGAAGCATACAAAAGGTCTCTTGTGACATCAAAGAAACATCAATAGATTCTCATGTGGCATGAGGCTGTATAAAACCCTTTTACCTTTACATGTGTTCACCAGAACAATGGAGAGCAGAAAACCAAAATGCTGCTTCTAAAGGCATTAAACGAGCTTGACATTTCCCAGAGCCAAGCGCATAGTTTCTTTGGACATTCTTCTCTGTAGTGTTAGTGTCAATTATATGATATTATGAATGGGTTTGTGAGTCTAATCTCTTGATCTCTTGGTTTACAAACCACCAGGGTTAAATGCAGTCAAGTGTGATCTTGACCTAATAAAAGACTTAGTTAAACTGAGGGTCTCAGCATCACCTAGATGACCTAGTTTTAACAGTATTATAGTTTGATAAGCATTTCAAATCTAATAAGCGTTTCGTCAGCCATGCAGTGACATTCAGATTCATTGCTTAGATGAGCAGCATTTGCTCATGGCCCTCTACTTTTAGACTAAGTGTGCCTCATTTTTTCCACAGTGCCTGATGAATTCCTTAGCTAGTGACATGAACATAATCTTTTTATCTCCCTTTTCAGTGGGATCATGAGACCTGGTTTAAATGCTATTTTGGGTCCTACGGGAAGTGGCAAATCTTCGTGAGTACCTATTTGACTTCTACATATCTTAATAAGAGATCAGTGCCAAATGGATTCTGGATTTGTTTTAGCAAGCTTTTGGAGTATCTCTCCTGACAGTGATGTGGAATCAATTAGATGAATGCTAATGAAACATTATTATCATCCTCAAATGGAGTCCTCTTCTCTCTCTCTCTCTCTCTCTCTCTCTCTCTCTCTCTCTCTCTCA